ATGTATGGAAAAAATACATTGTATTTCGATATAAATATAATATCAATAGTTTCCTCATGAAACGTAGTTTTGAAATATTAAATTTACATAAAATATATCTATGTATAAATGTAGATACTAATGGTCAAATTATAAATTGGAGACCACGAAAAGTCAAATGAGAAAGTCATTTCCGAACGGATGGAATATTAATATAACATAACTATATCAACGGATGGGTTCTAGAGCCACTCAAAAAGAGTGGCTACGGAAGCCACTCAACCAGTAAACCCCCACCCGGTTCCGACCCCAACTCGTCCTCCTAATCACGTCAATTGCGGGGTGCAAATTTAGTTGAGAGTCAAAAAAATTAACATCAAAGGTAAAAAAATTAACATTATTTATATTTATTTTAATAATGTATATTTTAGTTTATAACCAAAATTTTCATAAAAAGTAATAAAAATTTATTTCCTCTTTAAAAGGTAAAAATGTGTCGTAAGTGAAATTAATTATCTCTATAAAGGTAATATATTACCATAAGATTGAAAGCTAAGCGTAAAATTTTTAAAAGCTATTAAAACCTTTCCATAATTAAATTGACATTATATAAAAGATATATTGGGCAATAGTGTAAAAAAGTTTCCTAAAAATAAACGTTATTTCAAAACTATTTCCATTCTTGCCTTTTTTAGCTTAGTATTTTTATTGATATTTCAACGTAATACATGCCTAACAAAAATAATATATTTATATAAAAATATTCAACCGTTTAATAATTATAAATTATTAAACACGTGAGCTTTCTATTTCAATATTAATAAACACGGAAACTTGATATATTATTAAATATTTGCTAATATAATACGTCATATGCACAATTATTATTAATCATTATACATGTAAACATTACTCCGTATTAGTTATTAAGCACGATTATACATGGAAACGTTCCAAAGATGAATAATGGCCGTGGATCAAGATTCTGACGCTAATAGACGATTCACAACGTAGGTGCGTTTGGGCGGGAAAAATTTCCCCTGCTTTTAAGAATAGTATAGACTAGTATTATGACCTGTGCCAAGCACGGCGTCGAAAGAAATTTATGTTGATTCTGAATTATTTCAATGAAATTTATTTTTCGAAATAAAGAAAATATATTTCTCACATGATTTTTAATACTATAAATGAAAAAAGCCAAAGTAAAATAAATAATATTTGAGGAACAAAATGTAGAGTCAACAATGTTTATTTTAATACCAAATTTTTTGAAAGACTTCAGGGTATACAATATTTTCGGTATGGTTGCAAGGGTTTTCATTGTCATCTAAAACTAATATTTTTGATCATGTCTTTGTCTTCACTCGTGAAACAGCAAAATATAGTTGACCATGTGTGAACACTGACTTGGTTAAAAATAATCCCACAAATGACAATGTTTGACCCTGACTTTTGTTGATAGTCATAGCAAAACATGAGGCGATCGGGAATTGTCTTCTTTGGAACTTCAAGGGTAGCCCTGGATCAATTGGTACCAAATTCATTCTAGGGATTTAAACTTTTTTCACGACTTGATTTCCCGAAACCACAATTGCACCGATAACATTATTTCGCAGCTCTTGAACGATTAATCTTGTCCCATTACACATTCCAGATGTTTGGTTAATGTTTCTCAATAGCATAATCGGTACCCCTTTTTTCAAGATTATTTTGTGGTTTGAGATTCCCGAACATTTGATTTCGTTCAAAAACTCAACTGTTATACAATCCCCATCAACACCTACATATGCTTCTGCTTGGCACGAGGAATCAGAACTCAAGTACTCCTTTCCATCACCAGGAATGAGGAACATAATAAATTCATTTACCATTTCAACTACTTCGAGAGTTGGTGTCAATAGTGCTCTATCCTCAAAAAAAGAATAATTTTTCATATTCTCAAACATAACTCATTTCCCAATATAAGACTTAAACTTTTTCAAAATTTTCATTTTTCATTTTTCAATTTTTCATTTTTCATTTTTCAAATTTTTCATTTTTCATTTTTCAAACTTTCATTTTTCATTTTTCAAACTTTTTCCCAATATAATTTTTCAAATCTTCCATTTTTCGTATCTACACTAAATAGCACTAAAACAAAAGTCATTTCCCAATATAAAACTTAAACTTTTTATCCCTTAAACAACACTTAATAAAATCTAGAAGGGGAAATAATATTCTGTGAAAGTGAACATTTATCTAAATAATGACTAATGGATAATAACTAAAAGTACTTTGGGAAATAAAAAACATATGTTTCTATTTAGGAAAAGTCATTATGTTTTAGTGTTATTTTGGTAAATTTCTCTGACTATGAATATATAATGGAGTATCAATTATTTCAATTGAACACAACGTAGTTTCCATTTTGATAAATGAATTATGTGTTAGATATAAGTAAATTTTCTAATTTAAAAATTATATTTGAACTTTGAATTATTTACATTGATCATTCCGTATCAATGCCTAAATTTTTTTCCACGCATGCATATCATTTTATTTTTAAATATGTACTTACATTTTTTATATTCACCCATTTCATATCAAATTTATTGCAAAGTTTTGAATTTTTTTAAAATTTTTTAAATATGAATATATTTTTACTCAACTTTGTTAATATTCGTCCATTCAATTATTTAAAATATTCAATATGTATAAACTATTGATAAAAAAAATAATTAGTGAGCTATATGCATAATTAGATAAATCAACAATTACACATATTAATTATCCATGATTTCTATGAAACATGTGAACGACGTTTAATTTTTTACAGATGCAGATTATAATTGATAAAATATCATGACTATAATTAAAAAAAGTACACATATTTTTATCTTTTATTGGAGTGTTCATTTTCACATGGAGAATTTGTTAAATCATTCTAAAATTGACATCTAATTATAAATTTTGTATAAAACTTTATTTATTTAACAATAATTAATTTATCTATACTAACGATTTAGATATGAACATAAGAAAATTTTTCAATGCTCATTAAAAAGCAACCATATAAATTTTAAATACAAACATTCTAGTCACTAAAATATCCCGTTTGATTTTGTTATTTTAAAAAAATAAAAAAATTTATGTATCAAATTACCTTAAAACAATAAAACAAAATTAAATACATTAAGATAAAACAATATCTAAAGTACCTACCTTTTCTATCCTTTTTTTGTTGAAGTATTCTTTTTATCTTTTCTCTTGCATCTCTAGCTGATCTCGTGTAACACCCTAATCCGTCCAGGTTTACAACCCCTTCCGAACTAAAGTATTAACTTGATAATCGTATAATTTAAAACATTTCAAATGACTTTATTCATCATAAATGAAATTACAAACATAATTGTAGTAAATACGGAGTGTTTAATGCGGAAGCGATTTTTAAACATGGTTCATAATAACAGAATCATTTATTTTCTCAATAAATCCACCACGACTGTCTCGCCCCTTCCGCTGCCAAGAACATGCCATTCACTCATTCTGTCTACCTGCGTGTAGCAAATAAAACATACTACACGCTCAGCGATGAAGCTGAGTAAGCATATCTAAAGCGTCGAACATCCAAATAAATTGAATCTCAATTCATAATCAACCATTTGATATCATGCACACAATATATGATTCAAACATTCATGATATTCTCAATATTTTATTCCAAGTCATTCGATATTCAATATCTCAACCATGCTCTTAAATTATTCTTAATCTAAGTCCAAATCATTTTATAACAAGCTCTTAGCTATTCCTAGTCTAAGGCAACATTTCTAA